CCTTTGAGCATGGCATTTAGTTGTATATTTTCTCTGAGGGAGAGAGAGAAATTTGCAGAATTCCTACCTCCTAGTTCTGGTTTTTGACCTCTGTAAAAAGGATGTTTACTTCCAGATGCCTTTGTTTAAAAATTAACTTTCAGAATCTGCTACTTGGCTATGTGAAGCCTGTGGCTGGAATGTGGGCTTCTGGCCTTTTAGGCAGCCAATGAGAACAAGTCAAATTCTAAATAATTTTGTGAGTGAGAGAGTGAAAGGGAGAAAGAGTGTGTGTGTTACACTATCTCCTACATGGAAGGAAAAATAAGAACCTTATTCTTTTTTTTTTTTTTTTAGGCAATTGGGGTTAAGTGAAATGCCCAGGTTCACACAGAACCTTATTCTATCTGATAATTTAGATTTATTATTTTAAATAAGGAAAACTTTATCTGTATTTTTTTCATTGTATTAACTTGTTCTCTGTTGCTATAAATTAACAAACATTTTAGCTTTTCTGTAGTTTAATATCTTCAATATCATGCTGTAAATTTTCTACTTTTTGCTTCATCAGATTCTACCAGAGACTCCTTTGAAGTGACCTAGTGGGAGGATTAGAGAAACGTAGACCTAGCACGGAAAGGTTGGGGACCCTTGTTTGAGATTGGCTTTTTATTTAGCACTAAACATTTGCAAGAGATGAGCTGACTACAGGGAAATTAATTGTCATGGTAGGCCTGTGAAGTAGGTGGGTGACACATCCCGTTTTCTCTCATCTCACCCCTAGAGAAACAGGGCACCATGCCCTAGTCACTCAGCCTGATGAGAGAGGTAGGTCAGAACTGAGCTTTTAGCTTTCTCTTTGATGTCCTGTATTGTCTCTCACCTCTCAAACTAAACTGACAATTGGCCATATGGATATCATATGTTTTTTTGCTGCTCCAGAGTTTAAAGCTCACTTTGGCAGATAGCAGTGTCAGTTCTTCTGTTTGGGCTGTATTTCAGCCACTTGGAAATGGAATAGTTGGCTTCTTAGATTCCAGGAGGCTGTAAATCTGGGGATCAATGGTACAATGTAAAGAGTGCTAGGCAGAAAGGCAGAAACTTGAGTTCTGGTTTGAGCTTGGCTACTGACTTGCTTTGTGACTTTGGACAAGTCATTCAGCAGCACATACACTGAAATGGGAATGATAAGAGAAAAGATGAGCAAAGTCTTGAGTGAGGGTGATACACAAATTTCTAAAGACCAGTTGTTTAGCTTCACTTTGTTGGACCTGAGGTTCTATAACTGAAACAATTATAGCTGACATAATTATATATAGTATTTTATGGTTTGTAGAGTACTTTATACAGTTATCTCATATGTTCTTCACAACAGTCTTATGAACTAGAAAGTATAAATGTTATCTCCATTTTTTTAGATTAAGAAAAAATGAGGGTCAGAGTAACTATTTTACTCAGGTCACACAACTAGTTAGGGTAGATCTGAACTCAGTTTGTCTGAAAACAAGTCCGGCATTCTTTTCATTAAACTACTACTGTCTCTTATGTATAAAACTGAGGTGTTGAAAAAAATGATTATCTGAGGTCTTTTTTTTACTCTAAAAGAATGATTCCGTGATTTTCAGTGATAGAAGTATATATTCTTTACAAAATAAGATTAAATTGTAGTGTGAATGTTGATGACTTGGAAAAATTAGTGCTGGAAGGAGTACTTTGAGGCCAAGTCAACCTCCCCTCTTTTACAGATGAGGAAATTATGGCCCAGAGAGGTTAAATTTGTTACCCAGATTTGTGCAGGCAGTAATCCTCACTGATAAGAGTTGAATCTGGTCCTCTGCCTCCAGGGCCAGTATTCTTTTATACTACTCCTTAGAATATCATGGCTTAAGTTCAATTTACTGAATGGTTTTCCTTCTGCCTATTTTACTGTCAGGTGTTATAGACAAAAATGTTTTCCTAGAGCCTGTTCTGCAAGGGAGATGCTTTTGGCACATGCTGCTAAATATTTTAATCAGAAAGAAAAGATACAGGTATCTTCCTATTTAGAGAACAGATATGATACTGGAAAACGGTAGGTAAAATTCTGCATATTGACCTGTAGTTTTCCCATTTGACTTCATTAGCCTGTAAGTTCCTTGAGGGCAGGGGGTAGCATTTAAAAAAATTGAATTTTATTTTCAGTTCCAGACTCCCTTCCTCTCCTTTCCCCTTTCCTATCCATTGAGAAGACAAGAGAAAAAAAAAACACCCCATTACAAATATGCATGGTCCTCTGAAACAAATCTCCACATTAGCTGTGTTCTTCCCACTCCCAAAAAAAAAAACCCAAGAAAAAGATAAAACAGTCCATCAATTCTCTCATCTGGATGTGGATACATATTCCATCATGAGTCCTTTGGAACTGTGGTGAGTCATTGTTATTGATTAAAGTTACTGAGTTTTCAAAGTTTATTATCTTTACAGTATTACTGTTACTGTATAAATTGTCTCCCTGGTTTGCTCCAGTTTGTACAAGTTTTTGCAGGTTTTTCTGAAGCCATCCCCTTCATCATTTCTTGTAGCACAACAGTATTCCATCACATCCGTATACCATAACTTATAAGCTAGTCCCCAATTGATGGGCATCCCTTTAATTTACTATTCTTTGTCAGCACAAAAAGGTTGCTGTAAATATTTTTGTACACATGTGGGTGATTTCTCTCTCTCTCTCTCTCTCTCTCTTTTTTTTTGATTCCTTGGTTGAAGGGTAGGCGCAGTGTAATAGCTTTTGGGGAATTCCAAATTGCTTTCTAGAATGGTTGGACTAGTGCATAGGGTCTGTCATTTTTAATATATCCCCAGCTTCTACCACAGTGCCTTACACACAGTAGGCAATTTCATGCTTGTTAAATTGAATTAACTCGGATGATAGTCTAGTTGGACGTCTCTTGTCGAGTCCGCTGATGACACAGAGTTGTGAGGGAGAGCTAACGTGTTGGATGACAGTGTAAGGATCTCAGTAGATTGGGATAAGGGAGTGAATTATCCTCCCACCTTTCAACAGAGAAGTAGTAGACTAGAGGGACAGAAAGATTCATACATTTAGACATGGCTGTTATCTTGATTTGTTTGGCTTAATGTTAAAAGGCAGTTTTCAGATGAAGAAATTAAAGCTATCTGCAGTCATATGAAAAAATGCTCTAAATCACTATTGATTACAGAAATGCAAATCAAAGGAACTGAGGTACACATCACACCTATCAGATTGACTAACATGACAAAACAGAAAAATGATAAACGTTGGAGAAGATATGGTAAAATTGCAATACTGAAGTCATTGTTGGTGGAGTTGTGAAATGATCCAACCATTCTGGAGAGCAATTGGGAAATATACCCGAAGGACTATAAAACTGACCCAGCAATACTCCTTCTAGGTCTATATTGCAAGGAGATCATAAAAATAGGAAAAGGGAGGCAGCTAGGTAGCTCAGTGGATAGAGCACCCACCCTGGATTCAGGAGCACCTGAGTTCAAATCTGGTCTCAGACACATAGCACTTAATAGCTTTGTGACCCTGGGCAAATCACTTAACCCCATTGCCTACCTCCCCCCCCCAAAAAAAAAATAGGAAAAAGATCCACATGTACAAAAATATTTATAGCAGGTCTTTTTGTGGTGGCAAAGAATTGGAAATTAAGGGGATGCCCATCCATTGGGGAATGGCTGAGCAAGTTGTGGTATATGAATGTGATGGAATACTATTATTCCATAAGAAATGATGAGCAGTTGGACTTGAGAAAAACCTGGAAAGACTTGTATGGTGTGATTCTGAGTGAAGTGAGCAGAACCAAGAGAACGGCATACACAATAACAGCCACATTGTTCGATGACTAACTTTGATAGACTTAGCTCTTCTCAGCAATGCAAGGATCTAAGACAACACCAAAACACTCGGGATGGAAAATGCTATCCACATCCAGAAAAAAATACGGTATCTGAATCTTGTTTTTGTTTCTTCTTTCTTGTGGTTCCTTCGATTCCTTCTAATTCTTCTTTACGACATGACTAATGTGAAAATATGTTTAATATGAATGTATAAGTAGAGCTTATCTCAGATTGTACGATGTTTTGGGGAGGGGGACAAAATTTAGAACTCAAAATTTTATGAAAGTAAATATTAAAAACTAAAAATAAATTAATTAAAAAAAAAAAGAGAGGGTTCTATTTCTGGGGTTGGGGAGGGTAATCAGTGGAATCTTTAGGGTGTGACAGTGCTATTAAAAAAAAAGAATCAATGAAATATATCTCCTCCCCATTCTCCCATCTACCATGGACTGAATCTAGTAGGCCACAATTTAATAGGAATACATGGAAAGTCCCACATTTAGGTTCAAAAAGTCAGTAGGATGAGGAATGCATGGTTAAACTAATTCATATGAGAAAGATCTGGATTTTAGTGCAGGAAAATTCAGTACAAATCAGCAAGGTGACAAGACAGCAAAAACAAAAAACTAAAATAATGCTCTCCTAGACTGCATTAAGAGAAGTGGGTGATTGTTCCATCATTTAGGAAGGAAATTTTCCTTGAAGTCCATCTACAGGAATGTGACTAGGATGGTGAAAAGACTGGAGATTATGCCAGTGAGGATTAGTTGAAAAAGTTAGGGTTACTGAGTCTAGCAGTGATTTCTTTATTCAGGTATTTGAAGAGTAGTCATGTGGAAAGATTAGTTTTGTTCTGCTTGACTCCACAGTACAAAATTAGGAATAACAAGTACAAGTTGCAGAGGCATATTTTATATGGCTTGCTGTAAGGAAAGACTTGGAATGAAAGCTGTCCCTCAAAAGAATGGGTTGCTCCATGAGGTTATCCTGAGTTCTCTATCCCTGAAAATGTCTTAATGGAGTCTGGATGACTGTTTTTTCAGGGGTATTATAGAAAGAATTCTTGATGAGGGATGGGGTTAGACTCTGTGATCTCTGAAGCCCTTTAATCTCTGAAATTTTGTGATTTTGATCATCATTTTTTCTTTTCTGTCTAGGTATAGACAGAGACACGGCCTGCACAGCAGATCCTGCTGGCCTTGACCTGAGAGAATGCCTCCAGGGCTGCTTAGCTCCCTTCCGTGATGGGCTGTGGGACAAGTAAGGTCCTTCCTGAGCCTCCCAAGGATGTCCAATTGGATCTGGTCAAAAAGGTTGAGCCTTACACTGGCCACAAGACTGATGTGTATAAGCATTTCATCAAAGATGATGGAGGTGGGGGCCTTAAAACTGGATGCCCATCACCCCCTTATCACATTCAGCCTTATCCAGGTGCCCATCTGGCTAGCCACATGGAGCCTCATGAGCCCCGAAGGACCAGAGTGGCCAAATACCGGGCTAAATTTGATCCTCGAGTAACAGCTAAATATGATATCAAGGCCTTAATTGGACGAGGCAGCTTCAGCAGAGTTGTGCGGGTAGAGCATAAGGCTACCAAACAACCCTATGCTATTAAGATGATTGAGACCAAGTACCGGGAAGGGAGGGAAGTATGTGAATCTGAGCTGTGTGTCTTGCGACGGGTTCGCCATACTAACATCATCCAGCTCATTGAAGTATTTGAGACACAGGAACGTGTCTATATGGTGATGGAGCTAGCCACTGGTGGAGAGCTGTTTGACCGGATCATTGCCAAAGGCTCCTTTACTGAGAGGGATGCCACCCGGGTACTGCAGATGGTGCTGGATGGGGTCAAGTATTTGCACACACTGGGCATCACACATCGGGATCTGAAGCCAGAAAACTTGCTGTATTATCACCCAGGCACAGACTCTAAGATCATGATTACTGACTTTGGGTTGGCAAGTGCCCGGAAGAAAGGGGATGACTGTCTCATGAAGACTACCTGTGGCACTCCCGAGTACATCGCCCCAGAGATACTAGTCAGGAAGCCCTACACTAACTCTGTGGATATGTGGGCCCTGGGGGTCATATCGTACATCCTCCTGAGTGGAACTATGCCCTTTGAAGATGACAACCGGTCAAGGCTCTACCGGCAGATCCTAAAGGGGAAGTATAGTTACTCAGGGGAGGTGAGTATGGTGGCTGTGGCTTCTCCTGACATTCATGAAGATGGTCTCTATTCTTGTTTTTTCCTTCCAGGGAGCCCCTTGGAGAGAACATCCCCTCTCCCACATCCCTAAGCATGTGCGGCAAGCCTGCCTTTCCATACATTTCTCTTTCCAGAACATTTGTGGCTGTTGTGGAGAGAAAGCAGACAGGCATATTTAGGTTATGATGTGGAATCTTTTATATATTTTTTAAAAAATGTTTTTAGCATTGAGAACAGAGGTGGTAAGTGGGTGTACCCTGCAGGTCTTGCTCAAGGATATCAACTCTGTGGGCTTCCTTAAGAGTTTTCCCTTTGTTTCTTTCTGAGGTTGAAGGATGAACTCTCAGTCAATCAAGAAGTGTTTCATTTATGGAGTACTTATTATGTATGTGTTCAGTCCAGCGGTTAGCTAGCACCATGGTAGAGAAACAGAAGTACTCTTAAGACACAATTTCTATCCTTAGGGAACCTAAGTCTTATTTGAAGAGAAGATTAACATAGCTGACATCTATGTAGAGCTTTAGGTTTACAAAGTGCTGTGCAGCGCATAATCTTATTGGATCCCTCTATCAACCCTTTGAGGTTAAGAGGGACTGTGGGTGTTATCTCTGTTTTACAGAGGAGGAAACTGTGTCTGAAAGACTCAGAAATGACTTATTACTGTTCACACAGTTTGTTCCTTTCAGAATTTGAATTCTGTGGGCTACTGATTCAGGCTCTGGTGCACTGCTTACTGTGGCACAATGTCTTCCTAGGAGACAATACACTTAATTTATTAGGTGCTAGATTGTTTGATAATAATAATAGCTAGCATTTGTATAGTACTTTAAGGTTTGCAAAGCACTTTACAAATACTCATTTGTAACCTTGGGAGGTAGGTGCTATTATAAAGCTATTTGGCAAATGAGGAAACTGAGTCAGACGGGTGAAGTGACTTGTCCAGGGTCACACAACTAGTAAGTGGTTGAGGCTGGATTTGAACTCAGGTCTTTCTGCCTCCAGGTTCAATGCTCTATTCACCGTGTTGCCTGCTATAGATAAATGGTGTACAAATTAAGAAGAGAGGGACATTCATGAGGACTGAAATAGGTGGGAAAGATTGCACGAAAGAAGTGGGACTTAAGTGGAGCTTTAAAGGATAGATAGAATTTGGCCATTTCAGTAAATAGCATCATTGAGAGTGCTGTGACTTATGTCTGGTACCTCTGATGTCCTGTTCGGATTCCTGCGTGTGGCATTCACTGTTGTCTCTGATGCATTTGGGGTTAGAAAGACTAAAGGGGATTTTAGCTTACGCCAGATGGGCCAACATTTGTTTTTTGTTTTTGTTTCTTTCATTTTCTTAATTCAGGATGTGTAACACTGACTAGTAGGTGTGTGGACTTCAGAAACTTAACACCTCTGTATTAGGTCATATTTGAACCCAGAGTTCATACTTTGACTGGAGTTATCTTAGTGGATATCTGAAAAATGCTCCTTTGGATAGTCTTAGCAGTGCCCTTTCTGTCGGGCTTGATCAGCTTGCCCCTAGCTTCCCCAAGGGAACAAGGGAGCTTGGCTCCCGGGCAGACAGTCGTCGTGCTCCATTTTGTGTCCTAAAGTCAGGATTCCAAGAAGCAGAGATAAATCAAGGCATTGAGGTTTGCAGAGAGAATGCAGGAGATTGGAAGCTGTCATACCTTTTGGTTTGCCAGTAGTAATGCACTGTTGTTTGGCAGTAGCCTTTGAAAAGTTCTTAGCATAAGTGGGGATTTTAGTCCAGGCAGTTATTAATTTCTCTTTGTCTTCTTTAAGCTGTGAATTGCTCCTTTTGACATTCTGTGCTCAGAACAGTGATTTCTGCCTGGTATCAGCGAATGATTATTGAGTTAAGAGTTTTGCTGCTTTACCTCCCTGTCTCCACTGCTCCTTAATCCTTTTTGGTGAAGAGGATGATGAAAGAGTAGGCAGGGCTTTATGGCCTGCTGCTGCCACACTGATTTCCTTGAAGAGGTCATTGTTTGGTCAGCTTAAATAGAATACTTTCCATCCTTTTTAGTTCAAGGAGTGAGGGACAGGGCCTGGAGACTTGCCTCACACTAGGAAGTTTTAAAGGCCTTCCTCCTACTTCTGCCTCAGCCAGCTGGCAAGAAAGCATTTCCTTCCACAAGTCATTGAGGTTCCTCATACTTCTCAGATGACTACTTAAAGACAGAATTTATCTGACTTTCTCTCCCTTGTCGACTTCAAAGTCAGAGCTAGTTCAAATTTGCAATCTCCCCTGATTACAAGTTAGATACTTATGTTACTTAGAGGAAATCTTCTGAATATGGTATTTCCATGATAGAAATCCCAGGGTGAGATTTGTGAAACCCAGTTGGCTGAATGGAAAGAGAGAGAGAGAGAGAGAGAGAGAGAGAGAGAGAGAGAGAGAGAGAGAGAGAGAGAGAGAGAGAGAGAAAGGGAGTGGTGAGTGTGAGAGAGAGAGAGAGAGAAAGTGTGTGTGTGTGTGTGTGTGTGTGGTGTGTGTGTGTGTGTGTGTGTGTGAGAGAGAGAGAGAGAGAGAGAGAGAGAGAGAGAAAGGGAGTGGTGAGTGTGAGAGAGAGAGAGAGAGAAAGTGTGTGTGTGTGTGTGTGTGTGTGTGTGTGTGTGTGAGAGAGAGAAGAGAGAGAGAGAGAGAGAGAGAGAGAAGAGGAGTGGTGAGTGTGAGAGAGAGAGAGAGAGAAAGTGTGTGTGTGTGTGTGTGTGTGTGTGTGTGTGTGTGTGTGTGTGTGTGTGTGTTGGGGGGGGGCAGATGTCTCCCTTCCTGTGTCTGTACCATGCTGTGTGTGTATAGGTAGTATGCTTAGGAAGCATAATGACTGTTCTGTATGATGATGTTAGAAATGTAGGGGAAACAGTACAGCACAACATTACAGGTAACAAATGAAAGCAAATTGTCAAAGTCTGTATGTAGCAATTCTGCTGCCTTCTTTTGATGTGACATGGTAGATGAAGACCTAGAAGCTGTTGCTGATAGTGTTGTCCAGTATATTTTCGTTGCAGTCACTAAACCTTTGTAAATGTCATAGAAAGCAGATTATGTGAAGGAGAAGTTCTGAAATGCTTCGTTGGGTTCCACCCAGATTGGAATGATCAGATCTTAGATCTGGAACTGATCTTAGTGATTGAGTACAGTCTTTATTTTTTAGAAATGAGGACCTTACGGTTTGGTGAAGTTTTAGTGACTTGCCTGATATTATGCAGACTTGTGTTATCTTAAGCAATCACATTTTGTGGTCCTCAAGCAGCTTGAGAATTTGAACCTAACTTTCTTGACTCTGTTACAAAATAACAAGTAATTGTGATTGCTTGCATTTCTGTAATGCTTCAAGGCTTTCAAAGTAAATGTTATTCTTGTTTTATAAGAAAACTGAAACTGAGAAATCAAATGAAACGTTGAAAGTTGAGGCTAACTTAGTGGAAAATTTCCAGCGCACCCAGCAAACAAGTGTAAATCCAAGAGAATTTCCTAGAACTTACCTGCATCATCTTGGTTGAGATTATGTGTGCCTGACATGTGAAGTGGTTATCAGTATTTCCTAGTTCATTTTGATTCATAGTCATAACATGTTAGACATGGAAGGTACCTTAGGGACTATCTAGTCTAGCTCCCTCATTTTTTTTAGAACTTAAAAAAAATCTTAATTTTATTGCCATCTTTTGTTTTCACATCACCTTTATTTCCAAAGATATCATTTACCCTGCCTTTACTTATCAAATCATTCCTTATAACACAATTTAAAAAGGGAAAAAAAGCAGTGTAGGAAAACTAGGCAACTTATCAATCATGCCTGGCAGTCTGTGTGTTATTCCTTTAGTTCTCCCTGTGCAAAGAAGAGAGGAAGATATGTTTTTTCATCTCTTCCCTGGGGCCAAACTTCATTATAAATACACTTGTTCAGTTTATGTTCTTATTGTTGCAGACATTGTGTGCTTTCCTGGTTCTTTTTTCTCTTTGTCTTTGCATGCTTCTCTGAATTTTCTATGTTTCACATTTCTTACAGTACAATAATATTCTTTCACATTCATGTACCGTTTTATTTAGCCATTTCCTCATCTAAGTCAGTGCCATCTTCATTTTGTGGTTCAGGAAACTGAGGCTCACAGAATTAAGTTGTTTAAGTCTCTTAAGCTGGATGCTGACAGAGTCAGGAATGAGAGAAGTCAGCATTTATTGATCCTCTGCTGTATGTAATCGTAGCAGTCCGCTGTTGGTGCATTGCTGAGACTTCAGGCTGCTCTTCTTGGTCCTCATTCCAAGTCTGTCTGGTACCCTGAGGGCCCTAAGCATCTTCATGCTTAGATGGCCCATAGCACTCTGGGCTTAAAGAGAATTCACACATCACTGTTCTTTTTCCCTGCCTGCTGTTGTTCCGCTCTGGCCAACTTGGAACGGGAATAAGATCAGCAGTTTATAGAACTCCTCCTGTGTAAGGCATTGGGCAAGGCATGGAGAATGACAGAGAGCATAAGATTCTGCCTTCAGGGAGTTTTCAGTCTAGTGGGGGAGGCATAAAAAGGACAGATATGCAAACCTTCAAATGCTGAGGACGTTTCAGATGCGAAGCTGTGGGTAGATATTACAGGAGATGAGAGAAGAAAAGGAGGAGTCACTTTGTACTATGAAGTGGAAAAAGACTAGAGGCTACTGCAGTGGTCTTTGTGTGAGCTGATCAGGGGCCTGGAATAAGGCATTGGTAGTGGAAAGAGAAAGGAAGAACCAATGGGATTTGGTGGCTATTTAGATGTAGAATTAATGAGGAGTCAAAAATGACTGAGGTGAGATGTAATGGCAACAAACTTGTAATCACAGCTGGGGAGGTTGAGGCTGGCTGATTTCTTGAGCTCAGGAGTTCTGAGCTACACTGACCAGGTATGATGAACGAAGCTAAGCATTAATATGATGATTCCCCCTCTTCACACTTACCCTGGGGGGTGAAGGAGTATTGGGTTGCCTAC